CTCCGTCGATTCGGAAATAAGGAAATCTTTCAGAGAGAGCCGTATTAGGTCAGGGGCTATCCGCTTGCAGTAAATTTCAGAAGCAGCCCGGGTTTGATCCCGGCTGGCACCAATAAAATTGTCTAAGGGATTAAAAAACCATCCCTAAAACCCTCACAGAAATCACAGGAAGCCTGTGCTCAGCAGAAACTTAAATTAACTCCTGATAGGGGATAGGGGAATTGTAGTCTAGTATTTTTTTTAAAAATCAAAGAATTTTTGTTCTCATATTGACTCCGACTTTGATTAGAACTCAGGAATTGTGGTGGAATAGTATAGTGTTATAGCACGAGCACATTTTCAACCAAAACGCCAAAGAAATCACGCCTACGAAAAACATTTAAAACGACAATATGCAACTCCAAGTATGGATGACAAATACTGCCTATTAAGGTTCTTTTTCAAGCGGTCGATGGCCGCAAACCCCTTTTAAATAATTGGCCGTATATAAATTTTTCTCAGGAAATTTTTTCGTGACCTTGAAGTTCTTGGCACAAACATTTTTGACTGTCTGAAATTTTGCTTAAGCGAATATTACGACATTCAAATAGATGAATATGAAGATGACGATGTAATAAAATTAAAGAAGTCTTTGATATATAGATATGTATTGATAGGCAACTAATTTAGATTTAACCGTGTAGTGGTGTTAGAACATCCACTTCTTTACTTCGCCTACGCGGATTCCAGATGTGGAGGATCATACACCTTCCAGGGACCCAACAGGGAAGCAGGGAAGCAGAAGCTGATCCCTCATCCGGACGGATATCAGGTTTCTGTCGATGTGCCCTCTCGGCTCTTCGGACCATTGTCTGATCCGGAGTGTGGTGCCGCCCACGCTCCCCTCGCGGTTGCGTTCTGCAGGTTGCCGCCGTGTTTGACATTACAGGTCGGCGGATTGGGACGGAATGCGGTCTTTCTTTGCAACCTAACCTACCCATGGGGGCGGGTTTGCTTCTCGCCGGATGATCCCAGCGCTGTTGCTGACTCTGTCACTGATGTGGTACTACAGGGAATGGAACTATTTATTCCATCATCTGTGGTACCCATCGGAGGCAGATCTCAGCCTTGGTTTGGTCACTCCTGTAAGACTGCATCATGCAGTAAGCAGGAGTGTTATAAAGCCTGGGCTGCGGCTTCGGTAACTCGGGATATAAACACCAGCATGCTTAAAAAGAAGTAAAACTTCGCCTCCAGGTCCTTCAAAAGAGTTATTGCCAAGGCAAAGTCAGAGCACATAGGCAGAATTGGCGAGAAACTAGTTCGCCTTCCTTCGGGAACCCGTGCATTCTGGTCTCTCGCCAAGGCTGTCCAAGGGAATTTCTGTAAGCCATAACTACCATCTCTGCACAGTAAGGCGACTCACTGGCCCACGCCGCAAAGGAGAAAGCCGACCTTTTAGGCTCCCTTTTTGCATCCAACTCGACTATTGATGACGGGTAGAATACACCGCCGACCAGCCCCGGTGTGAGTGCTCCATGCCGGATGTGCGGTTCTCACGGCGCTCGGTTCGCAAAGCACTCCTCTCCTTGGACATCCATAAGTCGAGTTGGCCTGACGTAATCCCCCAATTGTGCTGAGGACGTGTGCTCCGGAGTTGGCACTGGTCCTAACGCGTCTTTTCCGGTACTCCTACTCCCAAGGCATAGTCCCGAATTCATGGAAGACAGCTTTGGTCCACCCGATCCCTAAAAAACGCGACCGCTCAGACCCGTCCAACTACAGGCCTATTGCCATCACCTCCTTGTTCTCCAAAATAATGGAATCCATTATAAACTGCCAGCTCATGCGGTACCTTGACGATCACCAGCTGATTAGTGACCGCCAATATGGTTTTCGTCGGGTTCGATCTGCTGGTGATCTTTTGGTCTACCTGACTCAAAGATGGGCGGAGGCAGTAGAGTACAAGGGGGAGGCGTTGGCCGTTAGTTTGGACATTGCGAAAGCCATCGATAGGGTTTGGCACAAAGCGCTTCTTTCGAAGCTCCCTTCCTATGGGCTTCCCGAGAAATTGTGCGATTGGATCACCAGCTTCCTTGCAGATCGGAGCATCAAGGTCGTTGTAGACGGTGCATGCTCCGACTACAAGCCTATTAACGCTGGTGTTCCACAAGGCTATGTGTTATCACCAACGCTGTTTCATCTGCATATCAATGATATGTTGCTAACTGGTAACATTCATTGCTATGCGGATAACAGCACTGGTGATGCTCTATCCACTGGCCGTGACAATATTTCTCGGGATTTTTCAGACGCCAGCGCTATTGTGGTAGGTTTTTGAACCTCTATTTTCAGTATATAGTGGGATACTCTTTCAACTTTCGCACCTTATAAGATGCTTCTCCTTGTACTATACACTCCATAGTTCTCACGAAAACTTGACAGTTGGCAGACAGTTACCAACTGAAGTTGTCGCTTTTAGGTTTCGGTGTGCGCGCGCATCGTAACAACTTCAATGTGTCGTTTTTAGAACTGAACTCAAGGATTTAATTCTTTTATACAATTAATACAAACATGAAGTCTCAGCACGAACTTCAGAACGTGAAATTATTAATTCTTTTTTATTGTTTGAAGTCTGCTTTAACTTCTTAATAAAAGTAATTTTTCTTATATAAGAAGTACGTGCAAAAACCTTTACTAACAAACTTTTTCGTTCAACAATTTAGGTAAATGAAACAACTTTTTGTTCTCGTATTTTTGAAATATTATTTTGTTTTCTAAATGGTTTTCCTATTACGCAAACGAGACGTTTTGTAAATATAGAAAACAGCCATTAGTGGGTAGAAAAATAATTAATTAATTAACTTTCTAACTCTCAGGCTAGTTAACAATGTTCAACGTCAAATGCCATGGATGATTGATGCACTGCCCCAGCCAAGGAAAATGCTGTGACTCGTTTCAATGTAACATAAACTGTGTCTTCAATATAGTGCTGGGTAGTTTGTTTATGTATATGTCGATATTAAAATAGCAATTGCCCATCTTTGTCGATTTTATCCTTAATATAAGATTAATCTTTATGATTGTTTTCGACTAAAGTTTTTACCTTTTTGATGCCTATTTCATTTTAAACAAATCCATTACAGCTTATTAAATTTCACTGCTGAACATAGGCCTCCCCCATAGATAGGGGAGGGGGATTTGCTACGCTTGGCAAGCAGGTTGATAACAGCAATTTTTTGTTATTTTGAGTCGTTATCATCTTCTATTTCGGTTTACCTCAGTCGCCTTTTACGACACTCACGGACGATATGGGGTACTGGACATTCTTACACCACCTCTACACGGTCCGTATTCATACTCAATCATAGTTCATATCCTATAACTCATATGTTAATACTCATCATCATTATTTTTACCAACCAGAATTATTTAAACTCGAATTAACATTAACGTTAAATATTGCGTTAGGCGATAAAAATAATTACATACTATTAATTTGTTATCAATCAAACCGATACTTTTAACTCAACTAACTTACGTTAAAGTTAAAAATAGTACTCGTATTAAGCGATAATATTTATTTAAAGATCATTAATTAGTAAATATTCATCTATATATTTGTAAAAGCGTAGCGAAGAAATTATGTGATCGTTGGATAAAATTGGATAAACGTTGGACACGGCGACAAACCTTACCAACAGTAGCATAATTTGACATGTCTAGGAAATATTTACCAGCTGTTAATAGTGATAAGCGTTATGTTTTTAATTGTTTTATTGAAAATTAATATTTTTACTGTCTGATTTTCAGACACAATAGTAAGACAATAGTAATGACCAATATGAACTACACGGGACAGCGAAAGGGTTAATAGAATACATATTTTAAATTAAAAAAGAACTCGTAGCATGCCGTCAACTAAGGCATCTTTACCTTCCCTTGTCATCTTTACCTACCACTGACAAGTAATAAGAAAAATCATTTTTATCAGAAACTACTATTGGTAGATATTTCATAGACACATTAGTAGTTTCGTAATGAGCCTATGGTCACGCATATTTTTTTTTATACTGGCAGCACTGTCCAATGACAAGTTATTAACGTTTGTTGATAATCGCGGGACACTTGTCGCAGCTAATTCTGGTCGAAATTTTAATTGTGCTTGTGAATTTGCTTGGCTGAGGTAAGTAGAATTGATATATATTATATATAACCTTCCTAAGAAGACGTGGCAGCTGTTATAGTGGTAATTTCTTAATAATTTTAAGAGAAATTTGCATAGGTAATGATAGTTGAGGCGAGGTAAAGTTGCCACAGTTTGTATAGTGGCGTCTTTACCTGTACCTAGGGTTGTCACTATACTTTACGCGTTTCTATACGTAAATGTTTTATTTATCTACTTTTAGGAGGGCTTACAAGCTAATTACAACTTACATAACAATATTAATACACTTATTCTAATAATAATAATATGTGTGTATATTTATCATTTCCATTTATTTATCATAACCAGATGAGAATACTCCATAAATACCCCAAAAATAATAATAATAATATTGTAGGTACTAACACTTTAAACCGCCTTTGTGGCGCAGTGGTTAAGCCACTATCTACTATTTCAGAGACCGTGGGTTCGATTCTTGATGGGAACCTATATCTGATATGGCAGGCGGAATAGATCCATCATCATCATCATGTTTTTCTCTCTGCTTAGCCTAACTTGTTAAAAAGGTTGACTGGGAGATTCCGTCATATGTACGATTTTATTTTTTGTGCATAAAAGTTTAAATAAATAAATAAATCATGCTAATATTATAAATGCGAAAGTGTGCTAGTTTGTTTGTTTGTCCTTTAATCGCATTGCAACAGTGCAATGGGTCGACGTAATTTGTTGCATGGATATAGTTGAAGACCTGGAGCCACCAAATAACCGCCGCTACTGCTTGCCTTGTGACATAAAAAAAATGCTTTTGGTGTTGGTACTTACCGAGTTTACTTTATTTCAGATAAATTAAAATATGACTCGCCCTAAACCTAAAAAACGGAACCGAAGGAAAATAGGAGCAAGGGCCTACAAAAACTATTCTGAAGAAATGCTCACTCTTGCAGTTGAAATGGTCCGTAACAAAAATGTGTCATCTTATGACGCAGAAAAACAATTTGGAATACCACGTCGTACCATAGAAAAAAGGGCAAAAAACTTACACACTAACAAACCTGGTCCACGGTACCGATTTACAGAGGAAGAAGAGCTCCAATTTGTAAAAGTGCTTATTGTTGCATCTGAATTTGGATGTCCATTGACACAGTTGGATTTCCGTATGATTGTTTTTGATTACCTTAAAAAAAAAAATAAAGCGTACATTTTTAATGACAATCCTCCAGGTGATTGGTGGGTGAAAAACTTTTTGATAAGACACCACGATAAGCTTACCGTGCGATCTACACAAAACATTAAAAAAGCAAGAGCCGAAAAATCCCTTCAAGATTTTAAGATCTACTTTGAATATTTAAAGAGCTGTGTTGAAGATTTGCCGGCAACCCATATACTCAATTACGACGAAACAAATGTCAGCGATGACCCGGGGGCAGTCAAATGCATTTTTCGCCGGGGAATCAAGTATCCGGAAAGAACAGTAAACTACTCAAAAGGTTGTATTTCTATAATGTTTTCCGGAACAGCCAGTGGTGATCTTTTAGCTCCGTACGTCGTCTATAAATCTGAAAATATGTGGACACAATGGTGTGATGGAGGTCCAGAAGGGGCGCGTTATAATCGAACTAAAAGTGGCTGGTTCGATTCTGGCATGTTCATGGATTGGTTCACTACAATAGTAATACCATGGGCTCAACGTCTGGAAGGACCGAAGCTGGTTATAGGAGACAACCTTTCAAGCCATATTAACGTAGATGTGGTAGAACTTTGCGAGCGTCACAATATTAGGTTCGTGTTACTACCACCAAATTCAACGCATTTAACCCAGCCTCTGGATGTTGCATTTTTTGCTCCACTTAAACGAACGTGGAGGAAAATTCTTATGAAATATAAGATAGAAAACCCAAAGCAGACGTCTCTCAATAAAATCCACTTTCCTATACTTTTAAAACAATTAATTGAAGAAGTGAACTTAAATAAAGCCGATAACTTGATCAGTGGATTTAGAGCAACGGGCATATTTCCATATAATCCACAGAAAGTATATTCAAAAATTCCGGAATACTGTGAAGAGATCACTTATGACGTAGATAAATCTTTACTTGACTATCTAAAAGAGAATCGGAATCCAAACCCAATAAGGCGAAATACAAATAAAAAAATGAATGTCGCAGCTGGAAAATCTGTCACAAGGTGGGACATAAATAAAAACGTAACCAAGAAAAACACAAAGAGTAAAACTAGTGAAATAACAAGCGAAAGAAATTTTATTGCAAACAGTGGTGAAGAAGTAGTGCAAAACGACATACCAGAAAAAAAGAGGTCAAAAATAACTATTCTCTCAGACATTAGAATACCGCCAAAAACAGACAAGAATAAAAAAACACCAACGAAAAAAATAAAAGAAGCTAAAGCTGGACCATCTGGTATTACGATAAAAAGAAATTTACAAAACGCTTGGCCATCTGTTTTAAAGACAATTTTGAAAAAAGATGTAAAAAGGAAGGGTATAAGAACCAAAAAACTCCACGATAATTCTTCGGATTCAGACTCTGACTGCTCTGTGCAGTATGCAGATTCTTCGGACTACGATTCAATTGAAGACATGCAGGACTACTTATTGAGACAACTGACAGAAGATCAGAAAATGGAGGAAAAGGAAAAAGATGAACAAATGACCGAATTGGAAACGAAAGGGCATGAAACAGAAAGCTTGAGAACAGAATATGACAAGGGGAAAGAAGAATGGTTAAAACAGGAAATAGAGGATCAAATTAAGGAATTGGAAAAAAAAGGATATGAGATAAAAAACTTGAGAATAGAAAGTGATAAAAGGCAAGTAAAAGAGATGGTAAATTTATATGACATGGATAAAGTCGAATGGGAAGTACGGAACATAGAGGAACAAACGAAGGAATTGGAAACAAATGGACATGAGAAAGAAAGCTTAAGAATAGAAAGCGATGAAAGGAAAGGACAGGAGATGGAAAAACAGATGGTACATGAATATGAAATGGAGAGAGACGCATGTAAAGAACAGGGAAAAGAGGAACACATGAATGAATTGGAAACAAAAGGACATGAGACGGAAAGCTTGAGATCAGAAAGCTATGAAAGGAAGGGACAGGAGATAAAACAAAAGATGGTAAATGAATATAAAATGGAGAGAGACTTGTGGAAAGACCAGGAAACAGTGGAACAAATAAAAGATTTAGGAACAAAAGAGCATAAAACAGAGAAGCATGAAAGAAAACAACAGATAAAGAGCCTGATAATAGAAAACGATGATAAAAAAGGACTGAAGATAAAACGACGAAGACTAGAAGAGACTATGTCAGAAAAAGATACAATTAATGAACAAAATGAGAAGGCATTTATAGCCAAAAGTTTATATATTGGACAATACATCTTAGTAAAGTTTGAAAGTACCAAAAATACAAATAAGTATTACTGTGGCCTGATTACGAAAATATCCGAGCGTGAAGGTGTTTTCACGAAATTCATGAGATATAAAAATGGCGGGTTTTACTGGCCCACAGTACCCGATACAAGTATTGTATTTGAAAATGATATAGTACAAATTTTACCAAATCCCTATAAAAATCGGCGTGGAATTTTATATTTTGATGTCAAATTTAAATATAAATTGGAATAATAAGTTTCATTAAGTATAATTATCAATACAATTTAGTTGAAACTATGGTAGTATAAGTATGATAAATGTGAAACAACTAGTGCCTGATATACATTAGGTATATAACTCTTCATGCGAGTGTCTGACTTGCATTTAATCAATGTTTTATAGCGTACATTTTAACATCATTTTTAAACTGGTGGCAGCCCTGATAATTAATTACATTTGTATGAGAATTTCAATGGAGTCCATGCCATCTTTACCTACCAGCATTTATTGCCCGTATATAGCTTTTTTAATTAAAATACCCATATGTCTAAACAGAGAAAGTAAAGCGAAAGGGTATCTTTACCAATTTCAGTTATAAAGGCTTCATTTTATCGAGAAATACTGTATAGGTAAAGTAGCCATTTTTGTGGCTTCTTTACCTGTGTCATGTTTTTGGTGCTACTTTAGTGGTTTTGCAGCCATGGGAAACAGTGCATTTATAAAGCAACGGAGAAGTACTATATTCATCGATTAAAAATAATAGCTTAATCATAAGTGTTTTATTTTTCCATTTATTAACTTTTTCCTTCAAAATTATGGTAAAGATGCCTTAGTTGACGGTGCTTGTTTCTTATTTAGTTACCGTTATCGTTACAGACTATCAAAAGTTCGCTGCTGAACATATCTTTTAACATCGCCATAGTTAACTCACTTGGCAAACGCAGTTTTTATTTTAAAGTTGTTATAAGGAAGATGCTGCTGCCCATCTGTGTCAGTTTCTCTCTGTCGCCTCTAAAGACACCCGCGAGATAATATGGGTAAGTGGATTCTTTTACGTCGCCACGCGTATTAATATGTATAAAAGTTAAAGTTACAGCTTATATACGTCCCACTGGTGGGCACAGGCCTTCTCTCATTTCTGAGAGGATTTTAGGGCTAGGAAATGTCCGCCGCGCTGCCTCAATGCGTGTTGGCGAACTCCACATTCCTTCGAAATATTTTTTTCTTATTTCTCAGACATGCAGGTTCCTTGACCGCCGAGCAAGTAGTAAATCAGCACTTAAAATTGCTATTAACAATTTCATATGAGCCGTGGTAGCTCAGATGGTTAGCGCTCGCTGTAAGTTTCATAGTAAGCAAGCAACCCAGGTTCAATCCCCGCCGGCACCAATAAAGTAAATTTTTATATTTCTACTAAATAGAGACCGAAGAAAATTTTTTTATATCCTTAAACTATAGATATCGATAAATTTTCACCCATCACTACTAAAACTAAAGGGAAGGTACAGTCGAGTCGAGTAGGTTTTCATTTATGTAACACTTTCTTATCTAACGGTTCACCTTAAGAGCCGTCTGCCTTCGTAACTGATGAATACCTGAATTTGCGATATAAATGAGAACCGCTTGACAAAGGGACTCTATTTACCTTTGAGTGCAAATAACACTTTTGTTTGATTAGGAACGTGACTGCGGAGTTGTATATTATACTCTGGTAAAGGATTCTTAGTTAACGTTGTATATGCCAATATAATGAGTCTCTCCTTCCTAAATGACAGAGTTGTACACATATGGCTTTTACTGTATTCATAAGGAAACAGGGCCTGATATTTTTATTTCGGACATATACAAGTTGGTTTTAAATACCGCCATGTATCGAGAGCAAGCAGTTTACCTTACAATGATTTACTTAGACGCTGAGAAAATGGTAAATCGACACTTGCAATTGCAATTAACAAGTCTATTGATGCCGGCGGGAATTTTGGTTACTCGCGTATTGTGAAATTTGCAGCGAGTGCTTAGTAGTAACTACTATATAATACATATATACATATATACACAATTATATATATATATATATATATATATATATATGTATGTATGTATATATATATATATATTTAAAAAAATTAAAAATATTACTTACATAATTAATTCTGTACGATAAGATGGAAATACCTGCAATGCAGATATTTTAATAAATATGTTAAACGCATATATTTTTATACGTGGTAGAGCCACGCTGCAGCTATATAATGGTAGAAGCACGAATGGGTCGACTCGACCAAAAAAGTGCCATGCACTCACAGAATATTAACGTAAAACAGCAGCTTAATTCTACTGTGTTTCGTATGGTGAGTGTAGAGAACCGGAGACCCTTATTACTGGAACGAAGCATGCCATCTTAATCCTCAGTGGCAGCGTATCTGCATTTTGATTCTCAATTGAAGATAGATGTAGGTGTCTATGTACCATAGCATCCACTTGCTGCAGCAGGTAGACAGTGTGCTTGTTTGTCACCCTTATTCTATAAAAATATATGTAAGTATAGTTAAAACCTTTCTAGGATTACCTCCATTTTCGTTTCGTTGCTCTCCTGTAAAAAGAAGTGACTCAGTTTTAAAATAGGCATGTTGGTAAGTGATCCCTGTTTACTCATAGATATGCAAATTTTAGTTAAGTTTAAATATTGCTAGCCAAATTTGTACCACTTCCTCTAAAGTTAGGACTCTTAGGAAATTTCGCATGCTTGTTCAGTTCTGGTGACAATTTTTTTTTGTATAGAATAAGGGTGACAAACGAGCACACAGTACACCTGATGGTAAGTGGTTGCTGTGGCCCATAGACATCTACATCTATCTTCGTTTGCGAATCAAAATGCAGATGCGTCATCAGCCGTGTGGACTAAGATAGAATGTCTCTTTTCCAGTAAAAAGGGTCGCCGGTTCTCTACACTCACCATACGAAACATAGCAGCATTAAGCTGCTATTTTACTCGAAAATTTCTTGAGTGGCAATCTCGTACCGGTAGACGAAATGTAAGGCGTTCCCCCACTAAATAAAGTGCCGACCTGGGAAGACATGCAGGAAGTCAATGGATGCAGGTAGCTCAGGAACGTACTTTGTGGAATTCCTTGGGGGATACCTACGTTTAGCAGTGGACTTGTGAAGGGCTGTAATGATAATGATGATGATGTTGAACTCCTCGGTTTATTTTTACCTATTTTGAGCATTTCAAATCTTTCTTACTTATAATTTATTCTACATTTAACTTATAACATTAATATCGTTGTCATTTGTTTACCTACGTCTATATGAGATCCATTTGCAGAATTAACGTACTTTGGTACCTCCGTAGCTAACTTCTAAAATCTGTGTATAATTTCGAGTGCTGATTTAATAATTTAATCAACTCTGTTTTAGGATTTCCATAGCATGACTTTCACTTTACTCCAAAGTACCCACTTCATTAGTCACTTTGATGCATACTCCTGCTTTGAGTTAATGTTTCACGTGAATACGTGTAATAAAGTTAGTAATATTTCTTATAATCAAGGTTCGTAGTTTTGGTTGGTTTTTAAGTAGAAATTACTCAGAAATACTAGTTTACCGACTTCAAAGAGTATGAAAAGAGCGCGCCCCTTCAATGTGTTTATACTCACTTGTAATGAATGTGTAAAGAAGTAATATACCCAACGTGATAATCGTCATTGGTCATTCAGTCACTGAGTAAATACAATTATGGGAGTACGGATAGATTTACAGTATTGCAGTAAGTACTTCCTTTCACAAAATATTAAACCAATGATATTTAGTGGAGAAGCGCGCACTTTAAGCTTAACTCTACTACAAGATAGATCTCTTCTATTTCTAAAAGAGTAATTAAGATATAGTAAGAGTATCTTTGGGTTTAATGGAGCTGGAGGAGTCCACCACGCTTATGAAGATAAGACTTCCCCAATATACATAATTCTACACGATGTTTTCCTTGACCGTCAACCGAAGCTTAAAGTTGCGTTCAACAATTTCAACAAAGCCACCGAACATCGATTTCAGATAGATTTCGTACCATAAAATTCAGACTCAGCGCAACTGCTTTATTAAAATGTTTTGCACAGTAAAACATTTGTAATTAATGTTGTTAGAAATGCGGTGTTAGGGGTGTCTCGAATGATGGGGTAATAAATTGGTGATGAGAGAAAAGTGTGACTTGCAAGATGACCATGGCGAGGTTTAAAAAAGGAATGCTTCGGTGGTTTGTTCACGTGGAAATAATGAACGAGGAAAGAATTAACAAAGCAAATTTATACTGTATATAATTGTGTTGTTATACTTTATATAATTGTGTGGCAGAGACGACAAGAGATGCTTTAGGCGGAAGTTTATCGACCAAATTGCTAATATATTGAAGATAAGCAAAATTAAGAGTACTCTTAACCCACGAGCAATTATGCGTCAATATGTGCATGTAAAAGATGAAAGAAGTGTGTCGAAATTTTGCCAATTAGAAGTCCGTTATCTCTGCCTACCATGGCATAGCCGTTACTATCGACTTCAAAAAGGAGCCGGGTACTCAATTCGACTGTATGTTTTTTATGTGTGTTACCTCATAACTTTTTACTAGGTGAACCGATTTCGATGATTCTCTTTTTATTTCAAAGCTGGTGCTTCACATGTAGTATAAATTTGACCAAGGTTTGACCAATAGTTTTTGAGTTATTCTTAATAATTTATATCAAATTCGGTTGCACAACATTTTTAATTTTAAATATCTGTGTGTCGAATGAACATAAAATTAAGGATGCGTTTCCGTTGAAGCGAACAGGTTGGAAGAGAATACAAGACGTGCATTTAACAAACCTCCATTTCTCCACCCTCCTCTCCTTTTAATTCCCTCAAGATACGAAAGTACGCGGCAAAATATTAATTTCATGGTAATTTCGCAAAACGTCGTCCCTAGACTTGATTTCTCTTAGGATCAACGTTGTTGTCAATTTAACCAAACACAACAAGAGCCTTTCAATGAGTTCTAGAAGGTTAAAGGGCACAAGTTTCATGTCAAAGGCGTTCACATTGTGAAGGGTTAATTTAAATTATATCGCCCGGTTAAATTTCGATTTGACACCTATTCAATTATGTGGTAAATGGTACTGCTAAATGAGCAATAGCACTATTACGTTAATGAGAATTTTATCAAAATTGTAAAACATGAATTTAATTGCTAAATACACATGGCACATACAGTGGCTCCATGC